CGTACGATCAGTATCTCCTGTTCATTGCTTAAGAATGATGCAATATTTTTTTAAATTAATTTATTGAAAGTGACCATCAAGGACTATGTTAATATTGTTGTACTAAATTAAATATTATTGTATAAGAATGTGACATATTGTAAATATAGATTTTAAATTGAATGCGATTATGTGAAACTGAAAAACAAATTTGCATTATACAATAAAAATTCACTTGTTTGATGAACTTTAAAATAAATTATATATCTAAGCATGTTATTGTAATTTTTTCTATGGATAATTTATTTAAACATTTTCATCAATCGAATGATTACATTCTTTCACATTTTTATACGTTGAACATGCAGATTACTATTTTATTTTATGCAAGGAGCATTAACTTTGTTGCAGTTTAAAATTTCGGACATTTTGTTCGCGCCCTAATTTTAAACAAGTTTGATCAATTTTCAAATAATTGTTATAATTTTTATTCGTCGATTTATTAAATTTCTTACTTGGAAATAGTTCTCATTATCTTTTCTCGTGTCTGTAATCTACACATTTTTCATTCTTAGTGAGAGTCTTTATGAAGTTTTTTGTCTAAAATCGTATATCGTAACATGATGGTATTCATAACCTCCATGCTCAGGCAGACTGTTATATAAAATCATCATTTCTGAATAAAAAGACTGTCCTAACGAAGCAAAACTTCTCGTATGATATTCTGATTTATTTAATTAACTATGATTGACTTTAAGTCCTAATGGTATTATTAATATTTGCTTGATGCAGTGTTTTGAGCCAAGTTTCGAACGGAAGTGTTGCCCTTCCGGAAGCTGTCTCTGACGTAAAGAGCTAGAGAAGCGTACACTTCCATTTTCTCGACCCTCTCGGCGAACAGAGAGCACGTGTTTGCTCGCCGGTCGTGTTCAATTCATTTTATCGTATAAAACTTTGCGTCAGATTTGTAATCTGCTTGAGCGTGGTGGCTAAGGATCTCTGAAGCTTCTGATCTCCGTAAAGACAGGTTAACATGAATCCTGAAAAGTTGAAGAAGCTTCAAGCTCAAGTACGAATCGGCGGTAAGGGAACACCCCGACGCAAGAAGAAGGTATGTAGATATATTTCAAATGCTAACATGAATATACCAAATTCACATTGATTTCGATAGATCATGAGTCTTCGTGTTCATGGAAGTGCACGTTTTAAATGTCATTCGTGCAACTCGTGACTTTGCCCATTTTTGAAGATTGTTCTTTAATTCGTGATCGCTGATTATCGTTTTTCGCATGACATCAAAATTTTTCCAGCGTACTCGGCAAGACACCCTACTTTTATGTTTATAAATTGTTCACAAATGTTCCCCCGTTCGTGACGCTGGTTCTGTGATTATCGTTTTCCATTTTTTACGTGTCAACTTACATCGTTTGGCTTTATTGCCCGCTCGTGTACAGAATTTGGGATTCCAATTCTGATTTGCACTTTGTTATCAAGTTTTATGTAAAATGTTAACTTCACGATGTTTATGACTATAATAAAGTACAATGTTTCATATGTCCCGACGAAACGGTATGTTAAAGATTATTCATTTCTCAGAGACAAAATTGTATTGTTGGAAAGTGATTGTTTAGGCTAGATACTATTTTTCAGATCATTGTCATTTGAATATGTCCAATACGTTTTCAGGTTGTGCATGCTACCAATGCTACAGACGATAAGAAATTGCAAAGTTGTTTGAAAAAACTGTCTGTAAACACAGTTCCTGGTATCGAGGAAGTTAATATGATTAAAGATGATGGCACTGTCATCCATTTCAATAATCCAAAAGCTCAAGCTAGTTTGTCTGCTAACACATTCGCTATCACTGGACATGGCGACAACAAACAGATAACTGACATGTTACCAGGTATAATCAGTCAGTTGGGACCTGAGGGTGTAACACAATTGAAACGACTAGCAAGTACAGTGTCTGGGAGTACGGTTGGTAAAGCAACATTGGAAGAAGATGACGAGGTGCCTGATTTGGTGGAGAATTTCGACGAAGCCAGTAAAGAGGAGGTAATAGAACAGTACAGTTAATAATAATCATATTTATGTTATACATTTCATACAATACACTTTCAATGTTGTAGGCACAACTTATCATTAATAATTAGATATGTATCAAATGGGTATAATTTTGGGCTGTATTTTTAACAATTATGTTATTTGATTCTTTTCTTGATAAATATTATTCATGTATAATGTAAATTAATGTTACCGATTATCTATTTACTCTATTGAAAATGTTTTCCTATCATTATTGGTAATTTCTAAAATTATTTTAGCTAATGAAACTTTTCCAAAGCTATTTGTAAATTAAAAATTCATATAAACTTTAAGGTTGCTACAAAAAAGGAAGCCGATGAAAGTGATAAAGCGGCTGGTGATAAAAAGGAATCTGTTACGAATGATGAAAAGAAAGAAGCTCCCCTAGCTACACCTGAAGCTTAAAGCATTCAGTGTAGAGGTAACTTTATAGTATGAGTATTTAAAACTGTCATTTGAAAGGGACAAAATGAATGACTGTTCTGCATCTTCTTCTTTTACAGATGTTTCATACAACTAACAGTTGTAATTGACAAGTTGAGAAATACAAGTTGCAAAAGCAATGCGTAAACAAAGTATCACCACTATACATACGTTATAAATATTTGTCATACCCTATGATAATGCTATATGAGTAACAGTTATCAAGAAAATAAAAACAGCTGTTACAGAAATCAAAAGTTTCTATGAACGATGTTCTTTTTTTTTTGTTGCATTTGCGGATGATAGATTTTGCTCTGAGT